CTAACCCTAACCCTACCCCTAACCCTAACCCTAACCCTAACCCTAACACTATCCTAGGCAGGGCCATAACCCTAACCCTGCTCTGTGGGTGATAGAGGGCGGCGCTCCAACCCCCCTCCACGGGCCTTGCTCTGTGTGTAACGGGGTAGAGCCATAACCTCCCCATTGGCCCTGCCCTGAGTGTGACAGGGTGCAGTGCCCCAACCCCCTGATCCACCCTGCTCTGTGTGTGACAGGGGGCGGTGCCCCAACTCCCCTATCGGCCCTACTCTGTGAGTGACAGGGGGGAGCTCAACCCCCTGATGGGCCCTGCTCTGTGCATGACAGGGGGGAGCTCCCCAACCCCCTGATCGACCCTGCTCTGTGTGTGACAGGGTACGGAGCCCCAACCCCCCTGATGGGCCCTGCTCTGTGAGTGACAGGGGGCAGCGCCCCAACCCCCTGATCGGCCCTGCTCTGTGAGTGACAGGGGGCAGCGCCCCAACCCCCTGATTGGCCCTGCTCTGTGCGTCACAGGGGGTGGCGCCGCAACCTCCCCATCGACCCTGCCTTGAGGGTGACTGGGGGTGGTGCCCCAACCCCCCAATCGGCCCTACCCTGAGCGTGACTGAGGGTGGCATCACAACCTCCCGATCCGCCCTGCTCTGTGCATGACAGTGGGCGGCGCCTCAACTCCCCTATCGGCCCTGCTCTGAGCCTGACCAGGGGCTGCACCTAGGGATTGGGCGTGCCCTCTGCCACCCGGGAGCAGGCCTAAGCCAGCAGGTCGTTATCTCCCGAGGGGTCCCAGACTGCAAGAGGGCACAGGCCGGGCTGGGGGACACCCCCCGCGAGTGCACAAATTTTTGTGCACCGGGCCTCTAGTATATATATAAAAGCCTAAGCGACCAGCCAACCAGCCGACTGGCCGGTAGCTATGACGCGCACTGACCACCAGAGGGGCAGACGCTCAACGCAGGAGCGGAAACCCAGGCATGGAAACATGGAACAGACTGATGAATCTCAGAGGGAAGGGGGAGGGGAGGGTGGGAAGAGATTAACCAAAGATCTTATATGCATACTAGAGGCCCAGTGCACACATTTGTGCACCGGTGGGGTCCCTCAGCCTGGTCTGCAGGGTTCGAGACAAAACCGGCTCTCCAATATCCCTGGGGGGGGTCCTGGATTGTGAGAGGGCACCGGATCTCTAATATATAATAAAAAACAACCAATAAATTATGAACATGTCACCAAGGGGTTAGAAAAACACCAGTGGTCAAGTCATTGAACCAAAATATTGTATTCCAAATCCTCTGCCAAGATCTTAAAAATAGCCACTTAATTTCCCAAATGAATGACTCCCTCCCCTGATGCCCTTTACCACAGATGAGGAATGAAGCCCTCTGCGCAATGTCCAGAAAAGGCAGATTCCCCTACCTGACAAAATGTCTTCTGCTAATTCCTTTTCTCTTTCAATTTTTTCCTCTAGAGTTGAAATGCAGAATTCATAGCCAGCAAGAGCAAATTCCTGTCTGTAAAGCAAAGATCAGCATCGGCTATTCACCTTTTCACAAACTCTTTTATCCTCATTTTCCCAGCTGGGGTTTGAATTTTATCAATAAAGGAAGTGTGAAGATGGGAAGAGAAATTTTGTTTAAAGTCTCTGAGGGATGTCAATCAGCCATTTCTCAAGTTACATATTTTTTTCTAGTCACCCATTTAATGTAACTTAAGACATAAAAAGCTAGGAATGCAGCCATGGTTTTAATAACTGACATAACCAGCAGTTTTCATCATCTCGTGTGAACAGTTGAGTCACTTTTTTGCTCAAAGTAATACTAATATGAATGGAGGCAAAAGCCACCCTGTACTAGGAGTCTAACTAATGACCTCCTACAATTTTTGGAATAACTTTATACGTCTTCCAACCTGTAGGTCTTTGATGAAAGTTTCTTTCACAAAATGGAACCCCTAGCTGTGGCACTAGGAAGCAGTTAGCCTCACTCCAGCCCTAGTGTCCTCCCAGCAGCAGACTGAGTAGAACAAGGGTTAACTGCTGGTTTCTGTAAAGAGATGCACAGAAACATGACAGAAACTCCATCCAGCAGCTCAGTCCTGGCTCTAGTTTCTTACCGGAAGTGGTACTAGAAAGCTCAGCCCTTCTCCTCTAGGAAGAACAGGTGATCCCACACTTCAGAAGCTTCTCCAGACCCAAACCCTGGCAGACATGGTTTGGATCCAGCCAGGACATGGAGCAGGGGCGGCTGGCCACAAGATGCTCCTCGTCAGAGCAAAATGTCCAGAAATGACTTCCCTCCTAATGTCAGTCTCTCTAAGCCTCAGGATCTAACTGTATTTTCTGGTCTCATTCTTTTCTTAATAAAACAAAACAAAAAAACAATTTTGCGGAGAGTAATTTATAAACTAATTATTAGTGGCTCCTACACAAGGTTTCACCTCTGTAAGACCATGAATTTGTCTTACTTTCCAGTGTGATTAGCTTTGAGCTTCTTACCCTAGGAGTTCACACCCATCAACTCCTAGTCCTGTTACTTCTCCAAGGCAGACTGACCCAGCTGCAATGCTGCCCGGAACGGACCACTTTCAAGCTCCACAAAAGACTGGGAGTCACAGACCCTCAGAAGTGCTTGCCCGTCTAGCCGTTCCTGGTGACAAGGGTCAGTAGGGACCAGTGGCAGGGCCCCTCGCCTCCATGAGCACCAGACTTGTTGTTATTCCAAATCTCTAGTACCCAACTTCTGCAGCAACTAAAATCTAAGGAAAAGCTTGTCTTAGGTCTTCCCAGAATATAACTCTCTAGAGCAGCGGTTCTCAACCTGTGGGTCGTGACCCCTTTGGGGGTCGAACGACCCTTTCACAGGGGTTGCCTAAGACCATCGGAAAACACATATATAATTACATATTGTTTTTGTGATTAATCACTATGCTTTAATTATGTTCAATTTGTAACAATGAAAATACATCCTGCATATCAGATATTTACATTACGATTCATAACAGTAGCAAAATTAGTTATGAAGTAGCAACGAAAATAATTTTATGGTTGGGGGTCACCACAACATGAGGAACTGCATTAAAGGGTCACGTCATTAGGAAGGTTGAGAACCACTGCTCTAGAGGAGTTCTTTGCTTACACCCTAAGTGTTTCTTCTTTGAACTCCATCTGGAGAGAACGAAAGGCTCCGGCCCTCACTCATCAGCTCCTGACACATCCAAATGGTTTTCTAAAGCCTTTTCTGTGTAGCTGGCAGATTTCTTTCTTTCTAAGGATCGAGACTCATCTAATACTTTTAAATGAGCATCGACTTCCTGTCCCACTTACCCAGAAGTCTCTCTACTCCTAGATATTTCCCCTTCCTAAAATCTAGCTACCTGACCATCTCTGGATGCTTTAAAAATACTGCCAACCAAACCAGCCACTAAGACACTCCATAGCAACTCTCATTTAACTTATACCTAACTTCCTGGTTGGGTAATACTTATATCGGCAAAATGGTTTCTTCAAAGTTTATTACCCCTAGCAGCTTTTACACTGCTTCCTTCTCTTCTAGAAAGAGCTCAACTCAAGTTGCTTCCCTTGATTAGCTTTGTCTCTGTGCAGCCAGGGCTGAGGGCTATATTCCTCACTCAGCAGGGTCACTGAAACAGCAGGGGCAATACTGGGAAAGACTGAGGATTTCAATGATGAAGAAGGGAACACTTTGAATGTGACACCCAATTTTGTGAAGACCCAGATGATCTGGAGACCCAGTAGGTAAATGAAAACTATACACCATCCCGGGATCACAGTTTTCTGTCCACAGTCCTAGAGTCTGGCTACACTTACCGATTCTGAGCAGCATAGATACTGGCCAACTTTAGAGAGATTTCAATTATTGCATTGTCTTCCTATTGGGAGAAAGAAAATACATGACAAGTAAAACTTCCTCATGGACTATTTCAGATCAACTTCTAGACTGACTTGGGCCTGAACGTTAGTCTTTATCCTTCTGGAGGAATTAGGCACCTGTGAATTCCTCAGCTATCATGCTTTTGCATGAGTGAAAGAGTGGCAGTTTTCATACAAGTCCGGGAAGGGGGAGGGACCTACTCCCCGCCCTCCCCCCCCCCCCCCCCTGCAAAGCACATGTTGGGAGCTGGGTGTTTTCAGGAAGCAAGACTATTTTGAAACCAGCTTCAGCTAGGGCCCAATCCTAGGCAATATTCTTACCTGTTGCATGCCCCCTCCAAGCAGGTAACTCATTGTTGCTTTAAAAAGTTTTTCTGCCTAAAAGCATAAGGAAAAGATTTTTGTTTTATTTGGGTCCACTATCTAGATGACCCTGGATTCTAATTACTAGTCTGATGCATCATTCCTCGTAAAACACAATACGCACACACATTCACATACAGAGAAAAGTATCCTTGTGATGGGAAAACAGACTAAAAATATGGACCCCATATGCTCTGGGCACCTTAAAAACTATTCTGTGATGAGTGAAAACTTTAGAAGTTAACTTCTAATCCCAAGCCACTGTGGCAAAGACTGCAAACTATTCCCTACTATTCACTCTCCTCTCCATCTTTTCAGTTATAGAATCTCCTTAATTTTGCATAAGTCAGCCTCCTTTGCAATTAGGTATGGTCATATGATAAAGTTTTGGTCAAAAGATGCAGGCAGAAGGAATGTGAACAATTTTTAACTCATATTTTTTAAGTAAGCTGCGTGCCCTCCATCCTCTCCTTCCTTCCTGCAAACTGGAGATGAGCCAGCTGATCTATGCAGATGGGGACCTATCTAAGAAGAAACCTGGGCTTCTAGACCACTTCATGGAACAAAGGTACAAAGCCCCCTTTGGTGATTAACGACCTCTGGACTAATGCACTAGAGAGAAATACACCTCTGTCTTGTTTGAATCACTTTATTTTGGGGTCTCTTTGTTACAGTGGCTTAGCCTGTAACCTTACTAACAGTGTTCCCTTGAAGCCAATCCTTCACAAATTAAAGATATTACAAAGTGATTTACTTACTTACATTTTCAAGCTGACCCCGTATAAATGCTAAGTTGGCCATCTGAAAATAAATTATAAATTGTTTTTCAGTTTAGAACACCGTGTTCTTACTTTAAAACTTTTAAGCTAATGACTCCTTTTTGCTTTCATCCTCTAATTAAAAAATTGTTCAGAGAAAAAAAATATGTCACTAATCTACCAGAAGCAAAGCACAGCAATGGTATGAGAATAAATAGTTGCATATGCTTTGTGGATGTCAATCCAAATCTAAATTCACTTATCCTCGAAAAAACAAATGTTAATGATACTTGTTTCTTTTGAGTCTAGGATCAAAAGTTCTTATAAGTGACACCCCAAGGATAATAAAAATTAGAAAAAAAAATAAAACTTAGTAAAACAAAAACCAAGAGGGTCAGGAATATAAATCAGTAGTGCTAACATCCCTTCTCTTGCATCCACCCTTCATCAGTGGCTGAGATTAGTTACATGAGTTACCAAATCATAAGTGTAAATGATGGCCTTCTTGTTGTCACTCTGAATGGCAAGACGAAGTGCCTCATGCAAAATTAGCTCAGCCTCTTCTGGCTCATCTTTCATGATGCTCAACTGAAAAGAGAAAAACATGAAAATGAAATGTAAAGAAAGCAGATGATGTGTTACCAGACAGAAGAGGATATGGCTGTACATCCCAACACATAGAAGGAAGCCATTCATTCATCAAATATTCACTGAACGCACCAGGCATTATGTCTACAATGGATGGCCATATGACCAAGTCTTGGCCAACAGATGCAGACAGCAGGAATGTGAGCAATGTTTGCATCATGATTTAAAAGAAAGCTCCTTGCCCTACACCTGTACAACAAATAAGCTTAATTACAACTCATGATAAGACCTATGAAAAAATAATGGAAAGAACAATAAGGGTGTCCTCTAAATGGGGGCCAGAGCTTTCCAAGTAAGTGATGGCTAAACTGAAGAAAGAAGGATGAGAGAGTCACCCAAATAAGAAATTGGGGGGGGGGGGGGGGGGAATGACCCAAACAGAGAGTAAGGAATGAGCAAAGGCCCTGCAGACAGAAGCGAGCAGTTCTTTAAGAACCATTCAAGAAATGAAAAGAGATATGAAAGAAAGATGGTGAACCAGAGGATTATTGTAAGTGGGTGGGCAAGGTAAGGTGGTGTCAATCTTGTAGGGTCTTGCAGGCCATGGCGAGAAATTTGAATTTAATCATAAAGGCAGTGAAAAGCCCCAGCCAGGTGGCTCAGTTGGTTGGAGTGTCGTCCTGTACGCCAAAAAGGTTGCGGGCTCAAACCCCTGTTGGATCGAGAACGGGAGGCAACTCTCTCTCTCCCTTCCTCTCTCTCTAAAATCTGTAAGAAAACATATCCTCAGGTGAGGATTTAAAAAAAAATGCAGTGGGAAGTCATTCAAAGTTTTTAGGCAAGAAGGTGATACGATCTGACTTACTTTCTTAAGAAGGTCACTCTGGCTGCTTGGAGAATGGACTGCAGGGGCGATAGGGCGGCGCCACCATGTGGCTCGGTGACAGCAGAGGCGACAAAAGAGAGGGGCTGATTTTTTTATCTGTTGGCAACAGGAACTGTTGCTGGACTGTAAGTGTATTGGGAGGTGGTGATAAGACGCCTCAAGTTTTCAGAATCACTGAGGTTTTCAGGCTAAAGAACTGCACTGACGGTAGTAAAGAGGTGGTGGTGAAGGAAATGTGTTGGGAGGAATTTAAATTCAGGTTGGTTTGCGGCCAGTTCATCGGAGAGGCAGCGCCTCCCCGTGCAGAGGGCGCGTCGGTGGCGCCCTGCGGCGTGGAAATGCCACCCTGGACACTGCGGGCATCGGGCGGCAGGTGACCCAACAGAAGAGCAGGCAACCTGGGGGGAGAGGAAGTAGAAAGGAAAGCGGAGGAGGACGAGTGTAGAAAAGAGGACCGGCCCGCTCAGAGGCACCACTGAACGTCACTCCCAGGCCGTTACTGCGTGTGAGAAACTCTCTGCCCGTCCGGCTACCTGGGCTGGTTCGCGGACAAAAACCACAAGACGTTTCCGCTCATTCCGTCCCCGAGAGCGACGCCCGGTGCCCCTTGCACCTGCACCTGCGCCGGAGACGGCGGCTCGGGAAAGCCTTGGAGACAGACAGCCGGGCCGGACTCCAGCGCCGCCTTCGCCCCGCCCCGTCCAACTCCGGGCGCTTGACCTCGGAGCCGCCATCCCGTCTTCGGCCCCGGGGCCGGGCGCGCCGCGGCAGGGCCCTCACCTTGGCTCGCTTCAGCAGCCGGATGATCTCGGCCTCGGCCTCGTCCTCCTCGGCGTCCGGGGCGGCCCCGCCCGCTCCCGGCTCCTCCGCCGCCGCGGGCCTCGAGAACTACGCGAGCGCTGCGGGAAGGGACGCCGCGTCAGC